TGAGATTGGGTAATTGCAAATAAAGATACATATTTCTGAAATCCAAAGACATTAATGAAGAAATTCTCAATGTCCATATAGACAAAGCTCTCCAACTTGTGGGGAAAATCGACGCATGAAAGAGGCTGGTGGCAGAGAAAAACTCTCAGATTTTCCCGCCGTTTGCTCTTCTTTTGGACTTGCTTGGAAAAATTTCTTCAGTTACGATCGAAAAGCGATGCATGAATACAAATGCAAAGATCCGTAACGAACTATTTTTTTTTGCGTCAAACGATGTGGTGACTTTTAATTCGATGAAATACATACATCATTATCAATTAAAAAGTGAATTTAGAGATTTTTGCTAGTAATAGTGATTTGCATTTCAGGTAACAATGTTAATTAACAGATTTTTTCATTTTAGGTGACGAAATGTTCTCAATGGAACCTGTGTTATCATTTTCCAAAAAATTGACTTGTGAATCTTAATGAAAACACTGCTTTATCAACTAAGAGGAAATTTTTGTTGTCACAATACAACGAATGTATTTTATTTATATGCATTCCTTTACTAATAAATTTGATCAATAGATAACAGTTTTAATAAGGATCACTTAAGATTAGAGTTAGTTTAGGCGGTGCCCGCAAAGCATAGCACTGGTTTGAAAGTAGTTTCCGGTGCGAACTCGGTTGGATACCATTGGTCTTAGAATATAATAAATTTTATAATTCCGGCGGAAGTCCCGCAACTTGTTGGGATGATGCACTCTATTCTATATATTTAATCTACATTTGTTGTACATTACTCCGTATCACGATGTATGGGTCAAAACAAATTTGTATTTCTTTCAAGCGGTTTTGTACACCCATTAGGCGAGTATTCATGTCAGTGCTGAAAATATTGTTTATTTGATGCCCGATTTCTATACGGCCTTGCAAAGGTATTAGGAAAGCCTACAGGTGTTTATATAAAACTATTTATTATCATATCTCATAAGCATTGCAAGCAGGTACATTTTTAAGCTTCTTACTATTGATTACAGGGTACCGTGCGAATAATAATACCCTATCGTTTATTTAACCATTTCTATAGGTCCCCAAAAAACACCAAAAAATGTAATGGGTGAACTAATAAAAATAGTTAATATTAAAAAATGGTTAAATTTGGGTATTACTATGCGAAGTCTCCTGAGGAGAAACACGGGTTTCCATTCGAAAAATATTGATGTTCTAGAACTCCATGCCATTTCTACGAAAAATTATTATTATTTTTAAATATATAAAACACATGGAAAACTTTGAGCGCTTTGAGCGACCCCTAAATATTTATTGATTTTTTTCTGCCACGAAGGTCTTCTAATTTTGTTTTCTTTTTAGATGAAATCTTTTTAAAATTTTGACATTTTATTTTTTTAAAAAGGAAATACATTTTTTAATTTGATTTAAGTTTTAGAAACTTAGGCTTTTTCTTTATTTAATAATGTTTTTTTTTTTATATCTAACTTAGTTTCAAATTTTAGATTTTATTATTTTATAAGGAGAAATATTTATTTCGATTTTCATATCGTCTCTAGGAACTTATTGCTTTTTATCCTTTTTCTTAGATTTTAGTTTTTGAAGAAAATGAATTTTTATTTTCGTTTAATTTTTAGGTTCGTATTTTTTTCTTATATATTTTAGTATACTATTTTTTCAAATCTAATTATATTTTAATTTTTAGATTTAATTGTTTTAAAAAGGGAAAAATTCATTTAATTTTTAAGACTTATTTTGTGTTTTTTTATTAATTTTTTTCCGTTTTAAAATTTGATTTTCTTTTAACTTTTTCATTTTATTGTTTTAAAAAGAAAATATATTTTTGTTAATTTCATTTCATTTTTAGAGACGTAGTTATGTTATTTTACTCTTAATTTAATGTTTGTTTAAGCGACTTATGCTTAAAAGTGCATCCCTGCGTTGCCATACATTTCACACGCACCCCTGCGTGAACACCGCCAAAAAGCTTCCCTGGTTTTTCGAACTTCCAGGGTTCTCTTGCTTCGTATAAATGCGCTGAGCGCAGTTGAATTTCCCTTCTTATTATTATCAACATTCCACCTGAAGACACCGTGAGCTACAATTTTGAATTACATCGTGGGATTCATCCGATTTTCGCTACTCAACCTAAGTATCGTTTGTATGGCTAAACCATACGTAATTGTATTGTAATTTCATTGGTTTAAATAATACTTAATTTTTGCATTGTATAAAATAATACCAATTTTCCTTTAAACGTTACCACAAAGTTACATGGTAGACAATCCTATCAAATGATCTTCAACACTTTGCATTGTATAAAGCACATATCATTCATTCGATTTTTTCATTGTACCTTTTGTTAATACAATTAATTAGTTAAAACAAACCACACCACTACATAGTAGTGCTAGATTTAAGGCAACGTGAATTTCCATTA